CCAAGATAGAACTTTTTGGCCTTAGTTCTAAGCGGTATGTGTGGAGAAAACCAGGCGCTGCTCATCACCTGTCCAATACAGTCCCAACATTGAAGCATGGTGGTGGCAGCATCATGTTGTGGGGGTGTTTTTCAGCTGCAGGGACAGGACGCCTGGTTGCAATCGAGGGAAAGATGAATGCGGCCAAGTACAGGGATATCCTGCACGCAAACCTTCTCCAGAGTGCTCAGGACCTCAGACTGGGCCGAAGGTTTACCTTCCAACAAGACAATGACCCTAAGCACACAGCTAAAATAACGAAGGAGTGGCTTCACAACAACTCTGTGACTGTTCTTGAATGGCCCAGCCAGAGCCCTGACTTAAACCCAATTGAGCATCTCTGGAGAGACCTAAAAATGGCTGTCCACCAACGTTTACCATCCAACCTGACAGAACTGGAGAGGATCTGCAAGGAGGAATGGCAGAGGATCCCCAAATCCAGGTGTGAAAAACTTGTTGCATCTTTCCCAAAAAGACTCATGGGTGTATTAGATCAAAAGGGTGCTTCTACTAAATACTGAGCAAAGGGTCTGAATACTTAGGACCATGTGATATTTCAGTTTTTCTTTTTTAATAAATCTGCAAAAATGTCAAAAATTCTGTGTTTTTCTGTCAATATGGGGTGCTGTGTGTACATTAATGAGGAAAAAAATTAACTTAAATGATTTTAGCAAATGGCTGCAATTTAACAAAGAGTGAAAAATGTAAGGGGGTCTGAATACTTTCCGTACCCACTGTATATATTTTTTTAACCAAGTAAAACACTAAAACATGACAGTCAAAAAAGAAATAAATAAATAAAACCAGAAATGGACTTTAAGTGTCAGTGCTCCGGCTTTTGTGACTATTATGTGTAGCTTTTTATAATAAACTGAACACCTGTTTATCATTTCTTATGTAAACATCCTTTATTCTTTTTTTAAATGCCACAAAAAGCATGAAAAACCACATATAAACCATATTCTATCTTAATCGCATATTTATTAGCTTCATGTTTCATCTGTATTAGTCATGTATAGAGACAGAATGCAGAAGTTTACCGTCATCGGAGCTGGAAATTATGATCATGCAACACTGACAGATGGATCTGCAGAGAATCGTCTCTCTGTGAGTCATTAAGAAATTATGATTCTATCTAAAGAAATATGAGCGCACTATTAGACTAAACATATGTTTGCATTTTAAGCTATTTCTGGGATCAGAAATAGATGGGAGCAAACGCAAGTGAATATGTGCAGTGTCTCGTTAACCTATTGGAAATATCAGTAACTACCAACTGATATTGCATGAGTTTGCATTCCCGACAGAAATTATTACTGTCATTGTAACCAAGTATTATCATAAATACTGATGGTGGTCAAATATCAAAGCCATCTAATCTGTCTAATAATTCAAAGCTTAAGATCAAATCAGCATCCTTATTCATTCTAAACGTGTTTCTGTAACAGCTGCCAAAAAATAGCCTGTATAGTCCACGATATAGTTCCACTGTGGTTTGTTATTTATTTTCAAGCAAAAAAAGGAAAACTTTTCAAAGCATCCACACACACACACACACATACACATATATATATGTAATATTACATTTAATTTTATTTCAGCTTTATTTCAATGAGAGAAAAGGATTTGTGATAGTTTTAGTCATGTCCAACAAGAGAAGGTTGCACACATAATGTTCTTAAAAATATTTATTCAGAGGCCAAAAAGTGCAAAAAAGTGAAACATACTCAGTGCAAAGGCAAAACATTACTGATTCACAAAAAAGTGAAAAAAGTGGAGCATGATCAGTACCAAGGCAATAGGCAAAACGCAAAAGCAAAGCATATAGAAAAAAGTGCAAAGAACAAACATTACAAATCCTAAAAAGTGCAAAAAAAGTGCAACATGCTCAGTGCAAAGGCAAACCAGCACTGATTCACAAAAAACCTGCAGCACGCTCAGCGTAAAGACAATAGGCAAAAAAAACAAAGTAAACATTTATTTAAGAAGTGCAAAGAGAAAATGTTACTGATTCACAAAGAAGTGCAATATGCTCAGTGTAAAGGCAAAACTTCACCAATTCACAAAATGGTGCAAAATAAAAAAAAGTGCAACATGCTCAGCGCAAAGGCGAAATGTAATATGAATAAAAGTAATTGATCATTTCTTATGTGTACGAGCTTCTCCTGTCGTTGGAATTGTAGGTTATAATTTTTGAGCTGACGCAATAAAGTATTTTCCATTTGCAAACTTCTTCAGCATTTGGTGTGGACATTTCACGACTTACTTACTGGTCTTTAATACAAGTTTCAGTTAACAATAACAACACTGGCTTGGACCAATCAAATAACAGCTCCAACTGTTTAATAATTTGTCAAAATGAGGCTAAATGTACATTATCCCATACATATGTTTGATTGTGTGTTTCTCAAACCTTCTGGTTGATGATGTTGACCCATGTGGAGGTGCAGTTGCTGAGGTCGGGCCCCTGCTGGTCCCAGAGTCCCTCGGGCCCCTGACAGGTGAACACAGCCATCCCTGCACACAGAAAACAACCGTTACTGTGTGTTCATAGCACACCGCAAACACACACATCAACGTCCTTCACTGCTGCTTCCACAGATGACGAGAAACGCTTTCAAATGTCTGTGATCATAAAAGAATGTGTAATTACTTCCTCTGATGGAGATAAAATCACTGCAGCGTGTTTGTGTGTGTGTGTGTGTGTGTGTGTTCGTTCCCTGGAGAGCACTGGTAAAGGTCAATTAAAGCTCGTGGAGAGAGACATCTCATTCTCAGCTCTAATTAGAAGGACAGAAGAGAGAAAAAGTGTCATATTCTTCCAGTCGGGTGACTGTATCGGCACTCGGGTGAGATCACTGACACACACACACACACACACACACACACACAGTAACTCGCACACACACACACATACACTCGCACACACACACACACACACACACACACACACACACTCTCTCACACACATACATCACACACTCACACTCACACACACTCTCTCTCACACACACATACACACAAACACACACACTCCAGATGTACGGCTGCTGCAGACACACACACACTAACTCGCACACAGACTCACACACACACACACACACACACACACACACACACACACACACACACTCACACACACACACACACACACACACACACACACACACACAC